AAGTTATTTTTCAATGACTTGTATTTTTAATATATTTGAATGGCATAAAGTAAGGAAGCAATATTTAGATATTACTTAAAAGTTTACATTTTTTAAGTATTTTTTTATCACAAAAATTTCAGTTAATCATAATTGTCACTTAATAAGAATTGAATGTATCATATTGTTAGTTGGAGACAGTTGCTCAATTATATTTCTTATTGTACGAATATTTTAAGATTACATTGGTAAAATCAAAAATAATTTGATATCTATTATTATTTTAATAAAATATTTATTGATAATTAAATAATAGTTATTTGAAATATTTTCTTCTAATTTAAAAACCATACTTTACATTATATATTATTTTATACTATAATTACAATTTATAATTTGTTATAAAAATGATAGATTTAATTTTTTTATTTGTTAATTTAGTTTTCATGGCATTATTATTTAATATAAAAATAACAATAATTTAAAATACTACCAAACTGATTGCATACTGTACAATTATTTATCTTCATCGTAATTAATCTTTAAAAAAATATTTTTTTCCACAGTTTTCTTTAGTTTAAATACATTGATAATTTAAATTATGAATTAATTTATTATTCGTTAAGATTTAGTTGAACATGAAATTGTGAAGTGCGAAATAATATTCATCACGATTTACAATTTTTTTATTAAACCAATTATATTGTAAAAATAAATTAATTATCTAAATACCGAATATAAATTATAATTAAATTTTTATAGTATTTATACACGACCATAAATCAATATTAATAAGAAAAATTAATTTTCCTATGAAATAGAATAAAATTCAATGACTTCGAACTTAACAAGTGAAGTTAAAACGATATAAAATTCAGCTGTTCTTCATAATTTCCTAATAACAATAATAAATTTTTATAAAAAAGAAAAAATTTTATGAGAATGATAATTTTAAATATTTAAAAAAATTTATATTATACCTTCATTCATTAACATAAAAATGAACATTTTTTAACGTTTTTTTCATTATCTGTACCTCTCTGATGATTAATCTATTCTTGATTTGTTTTCATTTTAGTTAATATCGTTACTGATACTGATATCAGAGAAATAATTAAATATTTTGTACATAATAATTATTTCTTGTGTAATAATATGTAATAAGTTATAAACATAAGAAACTTGTAAAGGTAGGAATATTTTTATAGGACATCGATATTGAATAATTTACTTAGTAATCGGAAAATAAGATATATTTTAGCATTGTAGTTAATAAATATATGTATATAACATTGTCTAATTTTTCTATTAAAATGTATATACATCAAACTTATACTTATTTTTCTTGGTATTAATTGACACCGAAAAATTATCCACACAAATTTACTCATATATTAAACAAAAATTGTTTCACATTCGTAATTGTTAAAAATAGCTATAAAATATTAAAATTATATTATGGAATTAAATTGATTAAACTAAATGATAGACTGAAAAATAAAAATAATAATTACTAAATAGATAAATAATATTAAATATGTTTTATTAAATAATATCTTTTATTTCTTTATATTTTGTAATATAAGTATGTATTTGATATTATTATTTACTGTTCCAAGCAAATATATTTACAATAATGCTGCTGTCTTTTAATTATACTTTTAATAATAAAGTGAGTTCCGGTTTAGTTTACATACGTACATGATATAGTTATGTATATAATGTCTAATTTATTTTGTAGAGCAGTCATTAATATTTTAATAAATTCAATATAATAGAATTAATTTAGATTTTACTTTATATAATTTGATTTATATTTGATCAGATTTTAGTTTCATATAATTTTATTTAGATTCAATAAAATTTCAGAATCATAATTTTTTTATATTGAATAAAATTTTAGATTTATTTAATTTTATTTATTATATTATTATTTCTATATTAATACATTGTTAAATATTTAATATCAGAATATTTAATCATTAAAAGAAATATTAATTTCCATGATACTATATCACCAATAACGCTGGGAATGACCTACAAGCATATATAATCTAATTTCTTATTAAAATCAGTAATTAAAAAATAAGATGCTAAATATATATAACAAATGTTGATTTATTTACATTTTTAATTTAATTTCGAATTCAAATGAAGTCAATAAATATTTTTTGATCAAATAAAAAATTAAAATAGATGTAATTTATTACAAAATAATTACTTATACTGATTCTTATCTTATGCATTTCAAATACTAATGAGTTTTAAAAACTAATGAAATTTATTGAAATAAAATTATTCTATGTATCAATTTATAATATTTTATTCTCGTAAAAAAGATTATGATCTTAATTTGAATCGTTCTATGCTTTATTTTATAATTATTTAATTATCAAGAAAAGATTATTTCAACGAATATACAGATCCGATTAAAACATCTATGCTTCGTATCATTTTCCATTTTAAAATTTTTTATACATGATTAGCCACTAATGTGGTCTCAATGTGATTTATTTCTATAGTACTATATTATAAAGTATTTGAATGTATGATATTTTTTGTGTAATTAAATTCACTAAAAACATTCTAGTTTGTATATTTTATGTTTATCATTGTATAATTATTTTCTTTGTAGTACAAACCATATACATGTATTGAATCAAATTATCAAACTAATTCATAATAAAAATAAAAAATGTAAGATTTTATAATAAAAACTTACTATAATTAGAATATATAGATGTAGATGACACTATACTATAATTAAAATTGTCTGATTAATTAACTATTTTGTAAATCCATAATATTTATATAAATCTATTGTCTAACCTTAATCACATATCTGGAACCAATAAATTTACATAAATTTCCAAGAATAATTGGCGTGATATAATCCAACAGTATATAAGATTAAATAAAAATAATTATTCTTCTAGGCCAGATCGTAAAATATTTATTTATTAAAGATTTGGAGTTGAAGCCAAGTCGATAAACTAGTAGCTGAATATCTATTATATGGAAAATTCAGAAGTTATACTGATAAAAAGTCAGACCTTCCATCAAAAATGAAATGCGAAATATATATTTTTATAAAATAATAATATATTCTTATTTTTAGAATTCTTTTTTATTAAATTCATTTTACTATTTTAAGTGCTGATTAACAACTAATACATAAAATCTTTTTGTTCAAATAAATCCAATAAATTCAATTTTATTTGAATATTAATGAGACAAAAACTAATACTTATTTGAGTAACATCTATTAAAAGCAAAATTTAAAATCACGAAGTTCCACGCCATTGTCTGCAAAATAATGTTCTTGTTTGCATAGGTATTACATCATTATATATTTTACTTATTTTTACGTACATTAAATAAATTTACATTCGTTTAAAATAGAGAAGGTTAGAAAAGTTTATGACGGTAATATCAGCATTTGTTTTATATTTACATTGATTTATTTAATAGAAATTAATATATATTTGTAATTAAAATGTAATTTTGTGCGGTTTCTTTAGTATAAATCCATATCTATCTTTGATATAGCGATCAATAGTTTAAGATTAGAGGTGTTTTTAAACTATTATATTCGAACTATATTTAAATTTTGAAAAATTTCATAATTGTAACCCTTTATGTGTAACCTCATTACATACATCTAAGAACATCATCGAACCCACACCTTTTAGTCTTCTAATCAGGAACAATAACAGACAGATTGTATATAGACTTTAACCTTTGGAGTTAGACGATCGAGTGTAAGGATACCTAGGCAAGAGGGTTCGTGATGAGCGTTTTGAGGAAGAGATATACATCGAAAGGGAGGGAGAAGGAAACGACGCCAAGCTCGACCCGATCAATATTGCGTCTAGTGCGAAACTGCGAACGGGGCGGGAGAACTTGTTTTCCCCCTCTATTTTGCACCCAGCCACCCATCCGCTAGCTTCCTCAGCTACCCCACGCTAACCAAAGAGAGAGCGGCGATCGATCCCGGCTGAATTGGCAACGGCGGCCAACGACAGAGAGCAAAAGCGGTGACCTTCCGCGGCTGAAGTTCGTTCAAGTACACTGACCTCCCGTCGATGTTATGGCCCCTTTCCTCTCTTCGTGCTACTCCCCTTGCCCCTGACTACTGCAGTACAAACATTAAAAAACTAATTAATTTTATTAGAAGCGATTAGAAAGAATTAATCCACTTGATGTAAGATAAAAAGAAAGAAAATACTTACAATTGATGTATTGATATTGCATTATCGCACTTTGAAATTCACAAATTTTTAAATATAAAAGATGCAATAGAAATGTTTCTAATTACACATCATTTATGCGTTAATTATGAAAAATAAGGCATTGGATTTATTTGTTTTGTAAACATGATTATAAATAACATAATGTGAAATATTCAATATAGTATAATTATGAAATGTATAGTTTTATATTCATAAATGGCTGATATTTTTAATTATAAAGTTAACATAATCCACTATTATCTTAAGTTTAATCGACCAAATTATTATAAATAAAAAAATGGACTTAAAAATATAAAAAATAATATATCAATATTAATAGGCGTAAATCTTATTTAAGTGGTAAATGTTTGTTTTATCCGCTGTAATTAAATGAAAAATTCTTTTTTCTTTTAATAAATACAACTTAATGTATGTTTAATTTCTATATTTGCTAAAGTAATTAACTACATTGTAACTTTGAAATATTAAGTTTAGTATTTATTCGATTACCACACTTTTATTATAAAAATAATAAAACCATAAAACTATAAAAATTTTGAACTATTGATTTACTGTAACTGTACCTTCATATATTAAAGCAATGGAAAATTCAATTGTTATAAAATTGTAACTTTTTATTTTATACTTAATAATGTTATATAATATATACATATTTGATGAAAATTAATTTATTATTATTATTATAAGTGATATAATCTGATATTATATATTCAAAAACAAATAAAATTTTTTTTTTAATTAATCCTTATTTATTATTTTTTATTACAGGTGACTTACGAGAATCGCAAAATTTTTTAAATAAGTAATAACAAGGAAAGAACCCACAAACACGGTATATAAATATATCACTTTTATTCTTTCAATCTAAAAAAATGTAATTCCTGTGAAATAAAAATATATTGAACATTTATAATTAAATTTATAATTATTTAAAAATTGATTACTTATTTTAAATAATTTAAATACTGTAAAAACTATATAAATATTACATACTTTCAAAATGATAGTAGTTTCAATATGGAAATATAAATCAATATCATTACGATTAATGTGACAAATAATAAATTAAATTTTTACTTTGAATTCATGTATGTACATAAATGTTTTAAAAATTAATAAAAATCTACTTACAGGAAGATAAAGAATTATGATAATCTGTTAAGACAAATGTTTAATAGAAATAATCAACTATTGTATTAGAGATATATCGTAATTATCATAAATATATATAGAGTTTTTTTTTATTTATAACAACAATTTTAAATGTAATCATTTAATGGAGTTTTAAATATTATTTTACTAAAAATGTTTATATAAAAAATTCATTTTATTGACTGTTTTTTTATATATGCATAAAATATAATAAGTTACTTTACTAATGGAATTAAGTTCTTAGTGATTATACTGTACAATACGATTGAAAATCTTATAAAAACATTTATGCTGGAATATAGAAATTGAAAATAACGGATATTCTTTAGATATCGAACACTACCTAATGAAATTTTATCAAGGATGAAATATAATAATTCATTTAATATGTAATTAATTTCATATACAAAATTATATTTTAAAACTGAAATTTTTTTTAATAATTCGCAGCTTTATTAACGTACCTTCAATTCGATGTTATAATAACGATTTGTATTATATATTAAAATTATCAAAATAATATTCTTTTATTAAAAAATAGTTGGTATAAATAATTATGACAAATTAAAAGAAAAGTTTATTAAATATATTTGACAAGTAATGTATATAGATTAGCAATATCATCATATAAAAACATTCATAATCCCGTTTAGAATATATTCATTATTTTTAATACGAGTGAACCTTTTTTATATATACAACATAAAATTCTAATAACGCTTATATATTTAAAATTATCCCACTTTAAATAAATCTAGAAACAAACTTACAAATTAACATAAATTATAAGAAAAAAAAAATAAAGCATCAAAACATGTAGACGTAATATAAGTTCATGAATTAGTTCAGAAATTATATAAATATCAAAGTATGTACTTTCTATTAATATACAGAAAATCAAATTGAGTTAATATGTGAATACGCTAATGAACAGGCGAATGCCGAAAAATGAAATTATTACACGTGCGAACGTTAATACTGTCTGCATAAAAATACACTAATCCCAGGAATAGGGGGTTGCCATATCCGCGGGAAAACAATAAAAATAATTGCGGTTTACGGACCAGGGCACGTCCGTGTATTTATGTAGACGATGGCTGGATCGATCGAGCGTCTAGTCAATTTTCCTTCTCTCTCTCTCTCTCTCGCTCTCTGTTCGATTCCCCGCTCAATAACTTTCTCGTTTCTTTTGCTCATTCCCTTTCTCTCAATTATCCTTGTTTTTTATTTGATAGCATCCTTCAATATCGATTAGTTCAACTTATCTACACATACAGTAGATTATTCGTTCACATATCATCAATTTTCTTTTTACCCTGTATTCTTCGATTCTATTGACGGGTGGAATTGAAAGGAAAAATTTTTCCAATGTTTCCTTGTTTTAAAATTCCCGCCAATATTTTTCCCACAATATAATTATGGATATTTAAACTATTTAAATTATATTTGGTAAATACTTGATAATCGCTGCAAGGAAAATGTTAAAATCACACTAAGTACGGAAGAATATAAAATATTTTTTAGTTGATATAAAATTTAACATTTACAACATTTTTTATAATCAAAAAAAGTTTGAGAATAAAATATATTAGTTTGATAGGATTTTCCTGCTCAAATAATATAAAATCTTTAATTTTCAAATATCGTGTTATTTTATGAATACCTAAATATTGTTTTAAGTGAATTCTTTTATGTTTTTCACAATACTCAATATAGATCACTTTGTATATTTTTCTTAAGATGCCTAATGCTTTAAACTCGTATAACCGAGCAAACAAATTTTAGTTCTTTCAAATATATAATAAAAATTAACTCATCTCGTAAAACATGAATTTTAATAAAATCTACTAAATGTTTATTTTATTATATTACTAAAAGAAATAGCCAGATATAAATGGTATAGATAATTTAAACTATTGCATACAAAATTATTTTCGTTTTTATAAGGAAATAAAATTTGGCAGTAAATATTATTATTCTATATCAATATTTATTTAATATTTATTTCAATATTCATTTCAATACTTACACACAATAATAGATATTCCTACAATATCATAATTTCAAGAATATAGTGGTGCAATTACGGAATAATATAGATTTATTATCTTGAATCGTAATATTTATAATCTTAAAATAATTGTTTTCATATTTTTAATAATCACATTAAAATATACAGTACTTCTTAATTTATAGTTACTTTAAATTAAATAAAGTTACTTTAAAGTATTTATAGTTACTAATTTATGTACGTCAAATATTATATTTATCTAAAAATGAATACGCTTTTCAATTAAATATAAACAAAACCATATTTTTGGCTCATTACGGGGTGCAACACTTATTAATTAAAAAAAGATAATTTTTCAGTTCTTAAATTATATATATATTTTTTTAAATATCTACTTGTTAATGAATATTGTGAGTACTCTAAAATATACTTTTAAATATTTGTCTCTTTCTATTCATCATTCGCGATTTTGTGTATAGACTGTTATTTAAAAACTTAAATATTTACATTTCTTTAAAAACTATATTAACCATATCAGTTTAAAAATATTATTCTGAGATTAATGCTCTTGATCATTCCAAAACATTAATGTAATTGATTTCGATCTAATAACGGTAATTATCTAATAACGAATATTTCTAACATTTATTTTAAAACGCAAATTCTCAAAAATATAGGTTTACTAAGAGCAGAGATAATTGTCTCTTCTAAAAGATTCTTTAAACTCCTCTTGCTACATGTTACTTGATATTAGTACTTAAATTTATTGGACTAATCTACAAAAGCAGATTGAACAGAACGTATAATCCCTAGAAGGAACGATATACTTGTTTTGAAAATCAAAACTGAAAGGCCCCGAGATTTTGAGACTCATCAAAAATGTCTGGCCTTATTGGACTTCTTGGAAGTAGTGCATTTGAGTGGGGAGTCGTAATAAGTTACCATGCCACTTAAATCCAATTTTTGACAACATGGATTGTTTTTTAAAAATTCTGCAATCTTGACGTTAATTTAATTTAATTTCGTATATAAATATTATGTATTGTCCTATACAGCCCTTCATTAAAACATTCACTATTACAAAAAAAAAACAAAAATAATAAAAATGATGCTGTGACCATAAATACAGGTTTTCAAGGCCACAATATTGTAACACTATCATCCATGATATTTATCTATAACGTTTACATATTATTTTTGTCAGTGTTTAATCGAATTTTTGTTTATTATATTAAAGAGTAAATTATGTAAGGTTTTGTTTGATATTTTGTAAGCTGATGTTCGTATTTCAGTGCTCAGAAAAATGATTATTTTAATGTAAATTACAAAGCAATATGGTAGGTAATTTAACCAAATTTGTAAATTAGTTTTATGTTTCCTATAATAAATATGAGTGTTGTTTTAAGAAGTTAGATATTTTTAATTATTATTGAAACTATTTTTATAAATTAAAAGCTTATATTTTCTAAGATTTATTGTTAATATTGTATTGCGTAATATTATATTATAGTACGTTAGCATATATGGCTAACAATTTGTATGGATAACAGCAAATTGGCTATAATTTTAAATTAAAGAATAAAAACGACCTTTTTATCATAGTTTCTATAACTTTACTATGTAATAATATATAATTTCTTCAATTAGTCAATTAATCGTATGCAATGTCTTAGTCAATAGAATATTATTAAAGAGATATTGATATCCCAAAAAAAGTTATGGGATAGTAAGCTGATTTTTCTAAAATGCGATATTGGTGTTCATAAAATCGAAAACAAGCATAACACTCCAAAGGCAATGCACCGGCATTAGGCAAAGCCGTTCTCCAGGGAACGCGTCGTCGTATCCCCCCTGCATCCCGGGAGACAGACCGGTCGATGTGCAGCACTGTTGCCATGACAACGAGACGCTTCGTCCCCGGTACCCTCTACAGAAGGCACATCGCCAACGAGAGGGTGTATACCCCCGTGCTAGTACTGCTGCTGCTGCGCCCGGGTTTTTCTGAAAATTTCGAACAAGTATATACATGAAGAAAATGAAGAATTGCCACTAAATGAACTTGAGAATTGAGAAACTCGATGATTTATTGCTTCGCGTACCTTTTTCATTGTCTTCCAATCCTCTGAAAAATCAATGAATTAATAATAAATTAGTATTATCTCGATAGCTCATTTTTCCTGATTGCAGGACTAAAAAACAATTAGTAATTGGCATTAATCGAAAGCAATGCAGTAAAGTTAAAATTTCTATTTGATCTAGTTTAATTCTAATATCGGTATGGTATAATAATGCTTTATTACAACTTGTAGTTTTTCATTTTATTTATCACTGATTTACGGTAAATTTAGAAATTCTCTAAATTTGTATAACATTTTTGTTACTAATATGAAATTATTACTTTTTATACGTACTATGCTAAATATATATTTTCTTAGGAATTTGTATATGCATATATTAATTTACAATTCGATTCAATTTTAAGTATATTATGCTAATATAATTTATTTACTAATGAAATTATTTTTTGATGAATAGAATAATTCATATCGTAAAAGATTTGTATATAATAAAGATATATTGTTTCTAATAAAGAATTATAAGAAATAACTCGTTGCTTTCTTATTAATTAATACCGAAACATATAGCAAAGTATAAATTATAAATTGAAGGATTCTTAGAAAATAGTGGAATGTAAAATACGTTAGAAAGCAACGAGTCTTTGCAAGTAGTTTTAGAGTTCTTAATAACGTTAACATTTATTTTTAATGCTGGCAAAAGTTTATGGGTTGCAGCTGGATAACCAAAAGTATCAGTCACGGTTGAAACTTTAGACGTGTTAACGTACACCCACCTTCAAATAAGAACCCCGAACATTGACCCCCCTCCCTATCACCCTTACGCCTTACGCCGTCTGGCACTTTTCGGCCCATCGTTTCGACTCTTCCCCCACTTACTTAGCTCCTTCTGTCCCCTGAGGGCTATTGCTGCTGTTGGTCGGTAACGTACGACCAGAGGTTAGGCTAGAGCTAGGCTATACTTTCAAGGTCTTCGGTGAAATAGCGTATAAGAGAGAAAAAAATTATACTACGGGGAAAAATTTGCGACATTAATTAGAAATTTTTAATTTTAGTACATTGATACCCACGATAGTATATATATATATATATATATATATATATATATATATATATATATATATGCATATATAGTTAATGTGACACTCGTAATTATACTAAAATAAAGAATTGATCATTAAAAAACTACTTTTTATTACACAAGTTTAGATCTTGAAGAATTATGTTATTATATCATTATTTTTGTAAATATTTTACTAATGACATTTAACTACAAAATGTTTACAATAATAAGTATAAATGATATATATTTATAATTTATATATACGAATTCAACTTTTACAAAGTGTCCAATGCTTGTATAAACAATGGCATAAAATTTACCGTAGTTAATAAGATTACTTACTACACTACGTTGTTTTGCATTAGCTAATTTTCTATAATTAGTAATGAATATTTCATGATAGGATAACATGGATTCTTGTACGAAATGGTATTTTGCCACATATTTATTACATATAATGAATTAATTTTTACTAATTATATTGTTTAGCAATAATCAAAATATACGTTCTTTAAAAAAAAGAAATTTTTTAAATTTCTATTTAAGTACATTAAAATGTTTAAAACAATTTTTTTCAAATTGAAGTGTTTCATATTACGGTATATTTCATTTGAATCTGTTAATTGTATAATAAAATGTTGCATTATCAATATATAATAGTTATTTTAAAATTAATCTGCCATTGAATCAGAGTAACAGTTCTCAACATAATAATACACAATTTAGTTATAACAGTGTATTTATTTATTTAAAAATCAAACCGAAATAAGAAATGTAACATTTTTCTATTAATATATTCAAATTTACCGCTTTCAAAATTTTTTTATTATAATTTATCGAAAAAGTAATATTGCTCACTTTTCGAGAACGAAATTTTTCAGATCAAAAATTTCCTTGGATTTTCAGGCTTTCTCATTTCTTTGCTTGTCATCACAACAGTATAAAAGAAAGTTTGGGAGAAAGAAGGAGAGATATATAGAAAAGGATTGTGCGAGAAAGAGAGAGGGGGGAAAGGGAGGGAGAAATGAAATGACCGTCTCATTCAAATAGCGTAATACTCTGGACATCGCAAATTCTCACAGCAGTGTATCTAATACATGGATATGGCTCTACTGGCGCTGCGCTCAGTCGAACCTTCGAGGCCCTCTCCCTCTCTCATGCTCTCTTTTTCTCCGGCATCCAAGGTCGCTCGTGCGAACGAACTGCGTTTGAGCTCTCGACGCTGCGTCTTTCTCTCTCAACCCCCTCCAACTTCGATAGCCTAAGAGCCCGACAGTTGTTTGAAACCGCCACGGGTGGGGAAAAAAGGGAATCAACACAGACAGGGATGACGAGAAGAGCGGGAGAACGAGAAGAAAGAGAGAAGAAGAGAATGAGAAAGAGCGAGTCTATCGTTGGAAGTTTTTGAGGTAGGGGACTGGGAACTGGGGAGAGAAGTGCTGCTGCCAGTCTACACACGCGGGGTGAAGGCTTCGTAAGATCTTCTTGTGCTCTGCAGTTTCGTATTGTACGGCGCGTGCGGCCTCTTTCATTCGATTCGGGAATAGCGTCGCTCTCTACCCACGCGCGCGCGTTGCCACGGTTTATAAGTACGCAGCATCGTCATCGTCGCGAGTTTTGTGTGCAGATGCTAGCCAAGAAGTGGTGCATCCAGTACATGTCGATTCAGTGCTCACGAATTGGCGTTCATCGCCGGCATCTTTAAAAACGTGCTTTCAGCTTTGGAGGTGAGATTTCCGGCCGGCCTTGGAGGTTATGTTCTGTGGATAGGAATCGATCGACGTGCAGTGGTGAACGGAGGTTCAAAGAACGAAACGGTGTGTGTTTATGTATGCATGCATGCACAAACCCATGTGCATGAGTGTGAGTGTGGTTTGTGTAGTGAGGAAGGGAGAAAACGCGTTGCTGACGCGACGCGCATCGATTACGTGAGGGGTGCATGCACCCCTCACATACACAATATTCCTGATCACCGATATACACTTCTCGACTAAGCATTTGCGCGCATATGTCCGTTATGTGTGCAGCCGGCGTCTGCCTCTTCAAAAGACGAATTTCATTTATTCGTCGTGTCTTGCCTATATAACTATATAGAAAGCATTCATTATTTTACTTTCGCAAACCGAACATTCAGTCATTTTCCCGTCTTAAATTTTTGTTGATTTACATTGGAAATAAGATGCATCGTATTTTCTAGTTTTGTCTTTGTACTCGATGTATCAATTCCCTTATACATTGCTATTTATTCTCATGAATTTACATTATTGAGCGATAAACATACGTTCTGTGTCATAGTTGTGCATTGTATGAATTTTACGTAACAAATCTATTTCGGATTAAAATTTATTATTATAAAATTATTATTTTTGAAATTCGTCTAAATATAATTTAATAATCAAGAATTTATAGTGTATTTGCAAGTTTTTATTTTAGAACTTGTAACGAGTATTCAAACATTTTATAAATTATTGCACGAATCAAATTGAAATGATTTTTTTACCCTACAGATGTAGTCATTGTATTAGTATACGAGAATGCATCGAAATGCGAACTGTGATTTTCATTTAAATTATACAATATTTTTTGTTTTTAAAAAATTTTTTTTAAATGTCGTTTGGAACAAACATTGAACATGACATAGTACCATTCATTGACGTTTAATTATTTCAATAATATGATAAATCTTACTAGAACAAAAAAAAATAAAGAGAAAAGAGTCTCACACGTCGTTTAACATAAATATTAGCAAATAAAAGACGTATGAAACAGCAACAGAGTAAAATTAAATTGATTATGTACATGGAATTTGAAAGAATTGCGCAATATTATATCAAAAACTAAAATAGTTTTCTCCCGACTTTTTGTTTTACTAAAAGCTCTGATAGATATTAAGTTTCATTTTTCTTGCTATTTCATTTTACACGCCGCATTATTTCCACGATGTACACTTTTCGAAAGTAGATATAAAAATAATTGAAATTGAAGTTAATAAATAAAATTGTAGTTCAGTAATGTAGTAAAATTAAGATCAATAATTTCCAGTATTAAAAATTTTTTTATTTTCCATAATTTATTTATAAGATTGCAATAATCTTATAACATTTAACATTATATATTTTTATTAAACTGTTATATCTATCAACTATGTAAAATTTACCTATTATTTTAAGATTATTTTTAGATAGACATTTTTAACAGAAAAAAATTCATTTTATACTCCATGTAACCAAAAAAATAATAAAAATATAAGAGCACTTTTATATCTAGCATTAACGTATAGAGAGGATGTAAAAAGTAGTAATATATTATTAAATATTCGAGTAACTTCATTTATTTCAAAATACAAAAAAGTCATTAAATTCCTGCTTAAAAACAACGGTGTTCTAATAAAATAATGTCGAAGGCATCTTTTGAAAATTCATAGCATTGATTTGTATAACAAAAGATTATTTTACAAATTTCTTGAAGTGTTACATGCGATCGTTTTTATTCTTGTTTTACCCTAAATGTGTTTGAATCGATCTAAATATCTATTTAAAAAGTTTTAATACTAATACATATAAAGTTTTTGGTTAATTTGTTTTTTTTTTTAATTCAAGAGGTACGTACGTGATTTGACTTTTCTTTTGTTACCAAATAAACAATTTAATATCAATTCAAAGACATTAAAAAAAGTTCATTTTCAAGATGTCATCAATAACATCTATTTTACGAATTTTAAAAAATCATTGAAGTTTATATCAGTAGTTCTATTGATGATTTGAAATTTTGTATTATTAATCCTATATTAAATAAAATTTTGATTCATTATATTTCCTTAAGTGATTTGTGATTTAAATTATATTCTTCAATAGAAAGCCTAAAATTTGGTTTACGAAAAGTTTTTGCTGTATAAAGATATATTAAAGTAAAATTTTTAAGCGTATCTATTTATTTGATCAAGAATGCAGTAAAAAAAACAGAAAGTGAAACGTAGATAATTAGTCATTTTCTCATCGACTTTTATAAATATTGATGAAGTTTATCCTGCTTATGAAAGGAATAATAATGGGATAGAATTATTTTTGTTAAACAAATTATGTCAACTGCACAGTACGGAACTGAATAATTCTATCGAGTTTATACAGAAAGGATAGAAAACTGAAATAGAGATTCGGCTGTAGGTAAAAAAAAAGTGAGGTTAAAGAACGAAATTCTTTCCGGAGGAGCATTAACCTTCCTTATCGCTGATTCGCAATCGAAATTCCTGCACGAAGTTCTACGTAAATCTCCAGGATGATTCTTGTGTTTGTCTTTCTTCGTTCCTTTCTTCTGTCTCATTTATTTCTCCGCAGTAATGACACTCATTGTTTCGCCATATGAGTGAATGCTGCATATTCTTCTTTTCTTGCACAATTATAAAATCGTAATTTAATGATTTTAAAATAATTGAGAATAATTAAAAAAAAATAATTTTAAAATTCTAATTATTGAGAATAACAGAATGCTATTATTTGTAATCATTAATATAAAAACATGCGGGGGATAGTATATTTCATTGATGAGTTAGAAAACTTGTTGGATTATTCTTTATAAAATAGACAATTAATTCAAGTTTTATTTTTCAACTAAAAGATTAAAATTATATGAACGTTCAAAAATTGTAAAAAAATGCTGGTATTTACTGAAAATATTTATAATTCATTCGTTGTAACATCTTGTATTGCCTCATAACAATTCAATTGGATAATCTGTATATAATTTTTAGTTTATTCATTTATGCTATTTGACTATTGACTGTCTTTATGGCACTAGAAAAATAATGAAATATCCCTATATTTAGAACTAATTATTTATATAAAAGAAATTAAAATTTTTAAAACCAAGTAAGTGTTTATCGAATTTACGATAAAGTATTTATTATAATAAAAAACTATATCATGTCAGATTTACATAATTTATATTGAAATAATCAAAATCCAATACCATCAAGCAAAGAGTAGATTAAAGTCTGCAAATAAATGATAGCGTTATACTAATTATATCATGCTAGTGAAATTTTTTTATAAAAATATGAATAATCTGGTTATATGATATAATAATATAAGTTCAATACAAAGAATACAAAGAATTTACAATTGATATGTTTAAGATCATTTCTGAAGATTAAGAGTTCGCTGCTCCTTCATACTTCGCTTTTTCTTTTTTTTTTTTAATCGAGTTTATCAGTTTAAATTTTTATTTTATGAACGAACTTCCCTAGCATTTGAGTTTTTGTGTACAAAGTTATATGCGGTTTATAAGAAAAAATATCTATCTTTATATAATCGCAATGTAATTCTCCAATTTTGAATAAGTTTTGTCAATAATAATTCAACTATATTAGAATAGTTGAATATATTTTAGAAAAGATTAAATGAATTTATGAAATATTAATAGGATAAAAAATTATAAATGTAATTCATTGAGTCAGATCATGAACATTCAATGAAAAGAAGAAAAAATATATAAATTAATAAAATATATCCTTACATGTATTTAAATACGTTTGAATTTGAAGTGCGCCGAGAGCATTAACATTACTTAATAGCTTCAAGTTATAGTACAGAAACTTCAAGGTTAAATGCTCCCAACTACTTCACGCTCAAACTAAAATTGTCTTCAAAGCGAGAAATCGATCATATAGATGTATACCAGTGAAAAAAAATAACACTCAAAAAGAAAAAAAAGATTGAATCAGAATAACTGTCAAAAATGACTGTTTTACGTATAGTATGAACACCAAGAGTTGAAATATTATCACTATACAATAAATATCGCATTTGAAAAACTATAGATATCAGTATAAGGAAAGGGGAGACAAGAATAAAACAAGATGTAGAGACAGAGAAAGGGAACAGTCAACTAAAAGAAAAATGTTAAATATTTTACCTAGTATTAAGTTCCATTATGTTCGAGGCAAAGTTAATTTTCTATTCATTGTTTTATATTTTATTTATTAAAATTAGCATATTAATATTTTGATTGCACATATTTAATTTGGAATAATTTTGCATTATGATAAGAATTTTGTTTATATTTTGTTACCATAGAAATTGCATTTTTAGATATTTAAAAAGCGCAGTTTTTGATTAGTAAATATTAGAAGATTTTTTAATGAACAACTTGCAAGAATTTTGTAAATAAAAATATTAATTAAATAATAAAGAACTTCAAATTTATTTTATATTATAATAAATTAGCTTTAAAAAATTGTAAATGTATTTGCAACTAAACATAAATTATACTTCAATTCTTATTTTAAAAATATATACATATACAATTGAAATTAATTCAATTATTAGACATATTTTTCATATTTACGTATTCATTATTGGTTGTTAAAAAGAAAAATGATATAACGAAAGCAGACCTAATAATAAAAGAATATTTATATAAGAATTAATGTACTAAAGCTTAACATTAGTTAACAAAGTTTAAAGTTTAAAATACTACAGTAAAAAATTTAACAAAAAAATTATGAAATAATTCATTTAAAATATTATTAATATTAGAAAAGAACAATAAAATAAATATTTTTATTTCAATTAAATGCTATAAATAAAAATTTCTCTTGAATGACTAATTAAATGTTAGATGAACAGATTTAGTATGAATTATTTACGAATTAAATTAATCATCAAATTTTAACCTAACAATATAATAATATAGGTAGTTATTTATATTATAATTTATTTTCAAATTACGAATGTTAATTGAGTGTAATGTATTAATTGTAAACATAAATTACATTATACAGTAGTATAAAGTAATATAATATATATTTTAATTGTTGTTTTATATAAAAGGGATTCACGATCTAGTATTATTATTATTAATAAAAAGTGATCAAGACTTATAAAAGAGAATTGAAATGCAAAATGAAAGTATGAAGTTGGAGCATTAATAACCAAATAATTTTCTGTTAAGTATAACACAATCCAAGTGTAGTACGAGTGTAATATTTAAATTTTCTTAGATAAAGGGAAAACGAAAACAAGAGCTAGTAGTCAGACAAATCAAAATCTATTGGTTAGTTATATGCGTTAGAAGGAATATGTATAAATTTGAACATTTGCCGAATTATCGAAGTGATATTTTCATGTGCTCATATACTTTGAAAATAAAGCTAGTGGAAAAATAATGAGTGCAAAAGGATGAAGTTTTTAATTTTGTGGCTTGTTTTTATTTTGAACTTCGTAAGCAAAAATGACGGTTGGAGTAACTTCTTTATAGCTAGAAATGTTCAATAGTCATACATGACGTATAAAGGTTTAAGTAAATTTATTGTGCAATGATTTATATTAATTAGAATGAAATTAATAAATTATATCTCTTATTTTTATTATTACACTTCAAAAAATTTGTATTACATAATTGAAAAATTTTACCAAAGAAATTACACGAGCAGTTAAAAGATAAATATACACATATATAAAAAGAGGAATTTATAAAAATTGTGCAAACGTGGGAATTCCACATCAAACACTATTTTCTTTGCTATAATTGCCTACACTTATACACTATGAAATTATTATATACATTCTATTTATCACTATCAATTACATTGTGTGTACATTTACGTAGCCTACTTATAAACTCCAATATTATTTAAACGCGTAATAGTGCAAGGGATAGGTACAAAGAAAGTGATGTTCTGGTTATTTTTGTGATGAACAATATATTCTAAGTTTTATTTTATTTGTAAGTATCGTATGAACATCTCAAGATTATACGTTTTGAAATATATTTTGATAAACATTTTGATAATTTATCAGGTATGATTACATTTCCATTTCAGCAAGAATCTTACAGTTTCATTTTGATTACTTTTACAGCATTGGTTATTTTATAAAGGAAAGGAACAATATTATTCAATAAAAACGTTAATAACGAAAAAATCTCATACTTTCGTACACACAAAGTTTGAGAAATAACAGATAAAAATATTAATAAATAAGAGATAGATTAAAAGTATATATCAGCCTATTTTTATTGTATTACTTGTTACTGTAACATGTATTTAGCACAATATATAATTAATAAATTAACTTATAAGTCAAGAGTTAATTAAAATGTTTAATTAAAATGTTTGGTTACAGCTAAACTTAATCTTCGCCATATCCACCCTGCTTGCACGTCATACTGAGCTTACCTCTTTGTGTTCACAGGTATGCCGGTTGACTGAAGATGGCCTCGCCGACACCGTCGCTGGAATCGCGCGCGAATTCTCTCGGCTCTTTGGGCTCGCTTTCCCCATTGACAGTGAGCGGTAGCTCACCGCCGGCAAGCGATTCAGCCATCTGCGACGTTGATAGCTGTGATTCGTGTCTTGACACTCCTCTTGTCAAGTCCGACGACGCGCCCTGTACGCATTGCCGTCTCGGTGCCAGCGGTAGCAGTGCCTCTAACAGTTCGATCGGCCCCGTTATCACCGCTTCGAGTGGCCAACAACAGCATCATCAGCAGCAGCAACAGCAGCAGCAACAACAGCAGCAACTTCAACAACAACAACAACAGTCCAGTCATAACAGTCAAACGCTGACTACGGCCACTGGTGGTGTCCGTTGTACGGGCTGCAAGTCCACAGAGTCCGACGCCGTAGCGCGTTGCTTCGATTGCGCCAACTTCCTCTGCCCTAACTGCGTAATGGCTCATCAGTTTATGCATTGTTTTGAGGGCCATCGGGTCCTCAATCTTGGTGAGGCCAAGCTTGGCGATCCTACCCCGAGCAATGGCCTCGGTGAGTCTAAGTCCAGCACCGGTCAAATTTCTGGAACTGCCACCACGAATCCAAGCCTTGGTTCTGGAAGTCCGCTTCTCGTTAATGGAGGTGCTAGTGGCGCTGAGAAAGCTCTTTTCTGCCCTCGACACAAAAGTGAGCTTATCAAGTATTATTGTCGCACTTGTAGCGTGCCTGCGTGCAAAGAGTGCTCTCTAACCGAGCATCCCAGCCCTCATCACGATTGTGCCCATATCTCAGAAGCTGGACCTCAACAGATTGAAGCCTTGGCACGCGCCGTCCAAGATTGCCGAGCCAAGGCCACGGAAATACGTACTGCTGTTAAAGCTGCAGATCACGGAGCTGCACGACTTCAGGTCCAGTATCATAAGGCCCAAAATGAAATCAACGATACTTTCCAATTTTATCGATCAATGCTAGAGGAACGTAAACAAGAGCTTCTTAAAGAACTTGAGTCTATATTTTCAGCTAAACAAATATCTTGGGGCGTGCTCACGCAAAAAGCAAATGAACTAGCAGACAGAATTCAGCAGACTTGCGAATTCGTTGAACGATTGACCAAGTACACGACTGTCACAGAAGTGCTAATGGTAAAAAAGCTTCTTGACTCAAAGCTCCAACTTATGCTCAGCTACAGCTCCGATCTTGGTAGTCAAGCTGCTGACCTTGAGTTTGTTAGCAATTATCAAGCAATTCAAGTGGGTGTACGCAATACCTTTGGATATGTACGCAGCAGTAGCGATAGCAATGCTGGTCCGAGCAAACAACCACCCATTGCGCGACCTACGGCTGTCGGCGGTGGGGCTGGCTCTGGAGGTTCTGCTGCCAATGTCGGTACCAATTGTGGACCCGGAAGTGGTGGCAGTAGCAGCGGTACTAGTAGCGGCCCTGGTAGTGCCGGATCTCTAGGTGGTCTTCTTCTCGATCGGCCCTACAGCAATGGTCTCGTTTCCTCAACCGGTTCCAACTGTCCTAGTAGTTCACCTTCACCCTTTGAAAGCAGTAGCAGCCTGATCTCTAAACGCTTTTCCTCAGCTAACAGTCTCGGACCATTCTCTACGAGTATTAGCGAGCTTAATCTCAATGGTATGAGCAATCCGTACGAAAAGTGGAGCAACGGCGGTTCTGAAGTTTATCCTGTTGCTGTCACCGGTAATGATCATTTTCCCATGCCAGGAGCGGTCGCGGCTACACAAGCCGCTCCAGCCGATTCGGTTCTCGAGCTTACTTCCAAACTTATGCCTGCTGCGGCTATTTTTCCACTTAAGTCTCAAATTAAGCGTCAGAAAATGATTTATCACTGCAAATTCGGCGAATTCGGAGTGCTCGAGGGTCAGTTTACGGAACCTTCCGGGGTTGCGGTTAACGCGCAGAATGACATCATCGTCGCAGATACCAATAATCATCGTATTCAGATATTTGATAAGGAAGGCCGCTTCAAATTTCAATTCGGAGAGTGCGGAAAACGAGACGGTCAATTACTTTATCCGAATCGTGTTGCAGTCGTGCGTACTTCGGGGGATATAATCGTCACCGAACGTTCGCCCACACATCAGATTCAAATCTACAACCAATATGGACAGTTTGTGCGCAAGTTCGGTGCCAATATTTTGCAGCATCCGCGAGGCGTTACCGTCGACTCCAAGGGTCGCATTGTTGTCGTCGAATGCAAGGTCATGAGGGTCATCATCTTCGATCAGGCAGGAAATGTTCTTCAAAAGTTTGGCTGCTCAAAGCACCTAGAATTCCCCAACGGAGTTGTCGTCAATGACAAACAAGAAATATTTATAAGCGATAATCGCGCCCATTGTGTTAAAGTCTTCAACTATGAGGGATCTTATCTCCGACAGATCGGCGGAGAAGGAATTACTAATTATCCGATTGGCGTTGGTATAAACGCCGCAGGCGAAATTTTAATTGCTGATAACCATAATAATTTCAATCTTACGATCTTTACGCAGGACGGGCAGCTGGTCTCAGCTCTCGAATCCAAGGTTAAGCATGCTCAGTGTTTTGACGTAGCACTTATGGACGACGGAAGCGTCGTGCTTGCGAGCAAGGATTATCGACTTTATATTTACCGCTACGTGCAAGTTCCTCCTATCGGCATATAGAGTCGTATCCAGCGCCAGTATTGACGTGTTCCTATGTGCGCCCTTTTGTACTGGACCAACTCGGCACTTCGTCGAGGGACTTTCTAGCAACACAAATGTGTGTCTATCGTAAGCTGTGACCTCTCGTTTCTCTGCGATAATGTCTACTTCGGCTCCCTTTTCCTTCTGTTTGTCGTATTTTCATTTTACAGCCTTTTCTCATTTTTCAGTCACTTTTTATTTCATCCTTTAGTGTTTATTTTCTTTCTTGTAGTCTTTGACTTTCCTTATAACTAAATAAGAGAACGTTTCTCTCTTTGCCTTACTGACTTCCTCTCTCCTTTATCACTTTTCTCTCTCGCTCTCTCCCCCTCCCTCTCCTCTCTCACTCTCTCGCTCTCTCGCTCTCTTACTACTTTTTTCTATTTATCTAAGCACGCGAAGAAAATCTTGTAACAATTGCTAGGTAAAAGATAGGAGGCACTTCATAAGTGATTTAAATGGATATTACAAAAGAGCACATTGTTACTTCGTATACTAGAATTTTAGATTTTTAATTATGCTATATTTGGAGAAAGAATAGGCGGGTGGAAAAGGAGGAGACAAAGGAAGACAGAAAGCGCGCGCGAGAGAGAGAAAGAGAGAGAGAGAAAGAGAGGAGATAGATTTTTACATCGATAATTGTTTAGAGATATATAAATTAAATAAAATAAGATGAACACACCAAGCGATATAAGTATATTATTAAATTAAATTTAATGAAAAAACAAATATATAGATGAGAATTATAAGAGTAAAATTTTTTTAAAAAATCTAAATTTTGAAATTTATACGATATTCTTTGTTTTTAATATGCAAGAAAGCAAAATGAGAAAGAGAGAGGGAGAGAAAAGTGATCTTTTGTGAGAATTAGAAAGGAATGGAAAATAAGAGATCAAAAAGAATTGAAGATGAAATAAACGCGCGACAAAACTTACTTGTTAATATTGTTATAAACTGAAAATACTGTTGTTGTTGTTTAGTTGTAGAACTCGCCACCACTAGTCACTTTACCTTCATTCCATCCCTTATTTCATATGTTCCCATTTTTATCTCTTACTGGATCATTTAACTCCACTAAATTTGAACAAAAAAAAAAATCATTCTCGCGTGTAATATCTCTTCTTTATATGTAAAGGTTTTTTTTATATTTTGTATGTTTTTCTATGTTCTATTGACAACTTGACTACATACTCGAGGCGTAACCAATTATCAAAAGAAATAATGAACATGATATGCAAAATTACGATGATATACAAGCGAACAAGAGACAGAAACAGAGAGAGAGAGAGAGAGATATCAACTTTAATAATTATTTGAACATTGATTTTGTTGATATTTAATATAATTTTATTTCTAATTATTTTACCTTAAATATTAACATAAATCACGAAAATTTATAAGTAATTTTCCGGCAACAGAAAGAAAAAAATTGAGCGAAGTGACGCAGTGATGAAACGGTAATTTAAACGGTCCATTTAAATTTAAATGGAAAGAGATTTTCCCCTCATACGTAGCTCTTCATTGCACACATTTGCATTTGTAATAATCGTCGTTAATTATCGAGCCCATGTAATTATGATCACTCACACCAGAACTATTCATATTTTTTAATATTATTTTTCATTATATTATATTTTTATTACAATTACTATTATTTTTTATTTTACGACCCAATTAGAGCTTTTTGTGTATTGTCGTGTTTATTGGTTAGATTGTATTTTGTTATTTTGTCATAATTGACGATCGCCAATTAATGTGCGTGAAACAGAGAAAGATGTGCGAACATGTGTCAAATTCCTCTAGTTTAATGGTTATATGCAAATGTGTTTTTCCGTTATTTTTTTATGGGAATGCATAAATCAAATAAACAAAAAAAACCTAGCAATGGTAAATCTAGCAATTAATAAGTTATAATTTCAAATTTAGCAAGAAAATAATACTGTTTGAAAAATAGGCATTTTTTCCATTTAATGTCTTCAATATGCTGCTATGCTGTATTTTTATTACTAGATTTTTTACCGCAATGCCTCAATGCATGGTTGCAAATAATTTGTTTTTTCTTTTTCATCCCTCTGTATCTATTCATTTTTTTTTTAATTTTGATATCGCCGGTTGTCGACTAAGAATCTTATTTATAATTTGTACAAAAAATTGTTATATTAGTTATGGAATTATTTGAGGCGTTTCAACGTTACAGCGTAAGAATAGTATTACATAAATTAACTTTGTTTTTATTGCGGAATCGATCATAACTCGAACAAGTTTTAATATATTTTTATAAAATGGAGCAAATTTCTTCTCATGCTTGATGACAATCGTATGAAACTTATAGTAGTAAAAGCAATGATTACCAGTGTTAACCTTTCTGAACAAATAAATAATAAAAGGTTCTGACACATGCTTCAATTATTTTATGATAAAAGAACAAGACGTGACAATTGTTTTTCGTTATAATGCAAGTAAATATAAGATGGATGAGAAAGGAAGTAGGGAATGAAGTTGAGTTCCCCTTCAGTATTACATGCCCATTCGATGTTTTTGAAACTCTTTGGGCCTTTGTTTCCTCTGTACGTTCTTTTATTATTATTTTAATATTAATTAAAATGTATTAAATAATGTCTTAATCTTTAAATAATTAAGAATACACACAATAATTTCTTTCCTCTGATCATTCTTTAATATTTTACTATTAATTAAAGTGAGTTAAATAATGTCTTAATATTTAAACAATTATAAAAGAAACAGAAGAAACAATTACATGAGTATACAAACGTCGTGTTTTCGTTATACCTTTTTTAAATTGTAATTCTAATTAATAAGAAATAAGCGATTACTCGAATCGCGTGACTTTCTTACAAAGTGAGATCACCTAAGTTCATTTTCTGTATGATTTTTTTTTCTGTACATCCGTTGTGTTTTTACTTTATCATCATCATCGTCGTTATTATTCTCATAAACATTATTATTATATATAATTATTATTAATATTAGAAGTATCATGTCGCATCTTAGCTATTCTTATCATGAATATTATTATTTTTGGTATTATTAAATTTTTTATTTCTTTTTTGTAGTGCTGTATTCTATTAGTAAGTAATGAATTGTATAGCATTCATTTAAGAGTTTATATTTTCTTCCTATATCTCTTTATTTTTGTCTGTTAACTTGGTTTTTCTTTTTTGTTTCATTTTATGATTTTAATTCTATTTTCTTTCTTATCAGTTAATGTTTGCCAATTTGTATTTGTGAAACTATTATGTACTCAATAAAACAATAAAATGATAGTGAAACTTAAAGCTGTCCTTGCAAATCGATAAAAGTGGATCTTTAGATAATCAAAATTTTACTACTACTACTACTACTACTACTACTACTACTACTACTACTACTACTACTACTACTACTACTACTACTACTACTACTACTACTACTACTACTACTACTACTACTACTACTACTACTACTACTACTACTACTACTACTACTACTACTACTACTGCTACTGCTACTGCTACTGCTACTGCTATTATTATTATTATTATTATTATTATTATTATTATTATTACTGTTATTACTGTTGGATGAGTCGCGCGTTATTTTCGCTGGGCTGTATCACGCGTCGATTTCATGCATGTTTTTTTATTAAGCGGTTTCATGTCGCCTTTTTTTATTATTATTATTATCATTATTATTATTCATTAATCATTAATACTTATTAATAGCTATCCAATTTTTCGCACATTCTTTACATTGTCTCGTGCGATATTTCCGTATTTCATATAGCTTCAGTGCTTTTTCGTACGTTATATTTAATTTAATTTCAATTAGAATAACGATATAGAAAGCAGAAAGTACTACTGTTTTAACATACGAAAGAAGTGGCAAATCTGGGAGGTTCTTCATTTTCCATACATTTTTCAATAGTTTACTGAAACTTTGTAGCGTGAGTTTTATCTTAGCTCAATTTATCTTCGATAGGTTTGATCAGCGAATGAGTGATCTGTAAAGTTTTTAACATGTTTTCTTAAAATAATCTTGAAAATTTTTAACGTTTAATCAGGTCACAAATTTTGTTGAAAGAATATGAAATGCAAGAACCTAACAATTGTCTAATAGCAATCAGTTTGTCAATATTTTGAATTAAAAATAGTTTCTAACTTCTACAATACAAGCTCATTAAAACTGTTTTGAAGCACATATTTTAAAGACATTTTGACTATTTTCAAATGATAAGAAATAAAATTAACGAAACGTATATATTCACTTTATTCTCAAATTAATGTATTTACATTTTCTATGGCATTGCAAGTAATGTATTTTGATTTTTTTTTTCAAAGTAAAGTTTCTTAGTAGCATTGTGAATTTGTCGAATGCATATATGTACTTATTTATTTTATCTAACTTATCGTGATACCATACACTTATTCATTTTATCCTTATATTTTATATAATGAGCAATTTATGTCTTATACAATATTTTTGCATCTAGCCGGATGTGTTATTTTAAAGAATCGACTGAAGTTCAGTATTTGCCACTCTAAAAAATCAACAACTTAACAATTGATAGTATTATAAATTATCAGGATCTCAGTTTACCCACTTCTTTCATTGATTCCCTCCATTGAATTTCAGAATGAAAAAGAACGCGATATTGTATAAATAATGTGGATGTTCGAATCCTTTCTTAATCTTTATTTTTTATGCAGGAATAGATAAGTCAAATGCATTTCAAAGAACTGATTATCTTCTTTTTTTTACTATTAATTATTACGTTTGTGTTTTTTACAAAAAAGTTGAACGACGTGGAATATATTGTAACGGATACAGAATAAAAATTTTGTCACATTGTGACAATGTAACGTGAGACAAATTTGAAAAAAATATTAACTTAATTATTATTAAGTATCTAACCGAACAGTATCCGCTGATAGGAAAATGTTGTTTTTTATTCGTTGTGAATTTTTGTGTACAATAAATCTCAATTTCAAATACGCAGCAACAAATTAAATACACGACGGATTTTCCGGTATCGCGTTGCAATTTTGTTCTTTAATTTTAGAGCAAATTTATAATAATTCATTCCATTGTTGCTGAAAATGCGGTCACCAAAGTATATGGTGTATGAATTTGACTTTTCTTCACATCCGTCCGTGCACGCAC